ATAATTTTCTTTTGCATCAAGTTAGGTTCCAGCTTTGCCCTTGTTTATGCTTTGAAAACTCAGATTCTTCAACTTAGATTTTATAAAACTGTAAAACTTTTGTAAAAATTCGGGCGTTTCACATGCCAGCCAGGCAAGGCCAGCTTGCAGCTGCCCAACGGGGCAGTCCCACCTTTCCCACCTCCATCACCCAAACACAGAAGTGGGAGAAGGAGCCACCTTGTCCATGACAGAGAGCTTGGGAAACCTCACTGTGACCATGTATTTACATCAGTATGAATCTTCAGATACCCTTACTCTATAATTTTTATGCAATGAAGGACCTTACATGCTCAAGAGTTAGTTACTCCTCTGCTTGTTCTGGTACTGAGCCACCATATGGCACATCACCTCAATTCTCCCCTTTCACCTGCCAAAACATTACTTACCCTGCACTTCCAAGCAGATGCATAGGAAACGCCTGGTTGTGAGGCTGAGTACTGGGTCACCAGGCCAGTACCAGGGTCCAGGTTCATTTTTGTTCTCATTGCTCTGATTTTGAAGAACATGAAGCATTTTTGTGAATACATATCTATAAACATTCATGTAAAAATATTCATTCATGGATATATATGCCTTCCTTCATATTAGGGATATGCAGGGTAGAGCTTCTTTAAACTTCTGTACAATTAGCAATTCGACTGAAAATACAGGGATTTTTAAAAGTCCTTTGATGTGTAGATATTTTGGTCATCCTAATTGCTGAAAAGCTTAAGTATTTCACATACCTTTTTTGCACTGTGCAGCAGCAGCAGCAGCAACAGAAAACAGACTGGATGGTGTGATCTGTGAACAAGAACATTTCCCATATTTGCAGAGTTCCTGTTTGTTTGTTTACAAAATTTACAGAACTAAGGACTACCATATGTGCTTAGACCCATTATTAGCTCTATCTTGCTGTGAGGTATCTAACAAATCATTAAGGCTGAATCTGCATCCACCAAAGACAGCAGACCTCTCCTGCTGCCCCATCTATTTACTCCACTGTCTCCCTTACAGTGTCTTTGCAATTGTGAGGCCATGTGATGAGTTAAATCAGCTCATTGATCAGAAAGGAAAAAAAAAGACCTTGTCAGCCAGACCAGTACCAATCTGGCTGAACACACCAACCCGTGCAAGCTCTAACCAGTGCAACGAAGAGGATGAGAACATCATCAGGGGCAGGAGGTGGAGAACTGTCCCCTTCAGCAATGACAGAATTTTTAGATCGTTCAAGCCAAATACAAAATCACACTTGCATGACAAGCTTTTTCTTATTGTGACGTTTACTAAAGGAGACACGCTACGTTCAATTCTTTGAATTAACACTGACTTTCCTGTTTCTGTTGCTGCTGTTTATAGACTATATGCCCAGATTTGAAGTACTAAGAAAAGATATGCTTTACACCTAGGTGCCAAGCGGTGGATAATCCTGAGAAAAATACATTGGACACATCATCACATACCTCATACATTTAGAGATAAATCAATCTAATAGATCTTGTACGAGCAGCAGAAAGGATATGGTATTAAATAGGTTGGAAGGCATTAAGAAGATCTGAAGGAGGTAAATAAATGGTTGACATCCGCTCTGGTCCACTTCCACTCAGGCTGAGACCTACTTTCCCCAACTTGTGTTCCCAAGGCAGTTTCAGCCAAGCTGTGGCAGCTACGGTCCCGTCCCCTTTCCCTCTCACTGCTGCTAATCTCATCTCCAACGGAGCGAGACAGGACCCTAAACCAGTGGGGAATCACTGCTGGGTCGGCTCCCTGAACCATCTCACCGTCATGCATCACCGGTGGTTGGGTGGGAAGGCAGCAGCACCATCAGGCTGGGCTCAGGCTCTTGGATGCGATGTACACTCTCTTTAGGAAGCATGAGAGCCGAGTGCGCAGAGACAAGGCTCCAGCCATATTCAGCTGCACTGATAGAAAATAAACTTTATATCCCACTCCAAGGAGTCCTGAGTTTTCTCTGCCACAGAGGTCATAGTAGAAAAAGAGGCCTCAGAAAGTTATTTGAAATAGAATATCCGAGGTCTCAGTATTTTGTTTCTTTACCTTTCACAAGGTATGTCTTTCTCCCACCATTGTCTTCACTTTACTTGTTTTTCTCTCACGGCATCTTTGGCTTGTTGATCCTAACGACTTAATCCAGCCAGGGGTAAATACGGTGTCCTTTCTGGTGTTCTGTAAGACTTTTTGCCAATGCCTGTTACCAACGTTTCAGCCAAATGTGCTGAAAGTATGCATACCAGCACTCAAAATATTAAGTAACCTTACTACACAATGAAAATGTAATTATTTTCTCTAAGAAGGTACCTAACTTAGCAAATATTGCACTAATGAAAGAAAGGAGAATGTCAGATGTCAGAAAGATGATACCAAAACTAGTTCTTAACTGGAAGAGGAAGAAACCTGTCTCATATGTGTTTTGGTTAGAGTATTTATCTTGAAAGTCGTGGGGCAATTTCCCTTAGACTGTTGCATCCTGTGAAGAACCTGTTGTGTGGGAAGCTGACGAGCCTACATTAATCAGAAGACACTATCAACTGTTTGATAAAAGTTTCCACTGACGGCTATGCAAAATGCAGCGATTACAAATACCCAAGCCAGCTGACACCGACAATTTTCTTTAAAGAAACCAGGCTGAAAAGATATGGGCAACGCAATTCATTTGCTGCGCAATTTTCCACTGTACATTAAACTGTCCCTCAGCGGTTTAAAATTATAGTGGCCGAAGTTTGCCTGAACATGGTCTCTGGCATTGTTTTACTACAGGGTTGAGATTATCAATGTTCTAGGTGAGAATAAGCTTGGAATGAAAATCACTTTTTAAAAGTCAGCTGGGAATTCTTTCTGGTTTATTACCATTGCTTTTTTATACCCCGAGAAACTCCATAAATTCAAGCGTAAATTAGTGTCACGGTGTTAAGGAGTGAGTGTCTCTGAAGCAGTATTAATCAGTGCCTTGGAAGCATATCGCACAACAGTGTGGTCTTGCAGGTGCTGTCTTTTGAGGAAGTTATGGCAATTTCATTAGAAAAAGGGTTGTTTAAAATTACATGCTACTTACCAAACCTTCCCAAATATTTTGGGAAGGAATTGTGTTTGTCTCCTGACCTAGACTGTGTTAGGGTCCCATTTCTTTTTGTAATCACTTCTGTGTTTCATAAACAGTCAACACAATGGGTGAAAAAATTCTTGGGTTTCTTTTACTTCAGTCAGTGACATGAAGTTTAATCCATGTTTATAAAGTACTTAGTAGTGTGCAAAAAAGGAATATGACATTTGAAAGCTTATCTACTTCTTATAAAACTGTCTAGTCTAATTAAATATATTACTCCTCATCAGACAACTTGCTCTCCTTATAGAACACTTACCAGAAATATTTAGAGGCAGCACTGCGGAGTTTCAATGTGACGTAAGAATGATCTTCTAAGAAGATTTTAAAGATTTTGCTGTTAGCACGAAAGCGAGGCGTTCAGACAGATGTTATGGGCATGTAATTCTGTCTTGCTTGTCTTTATGAGCTCAGTGATTTGAATAAATTTATAGAATAAGTTCAGGAATCCTTTTTACCTTCAGTGAATTTCAGACTTGCTCTGTTAATGGATGCTTTTTGCATTAGACCTCCCCTTTCACAGTGCTAAAAGCAATTAGCAATAAATGAATGTGATGTTTTTTAAAACATCCGAAGCATATATGATATTACATCCCAAGCATATATGATATTAAGTATTTAGCATCTTGTCCTGTCTATAGGACCTCAGAAAAGGTACAGGTTAAAGCTTCAATTACAGTGCTTCCTGGGACATGTGCTTCATTTGGTGAGCAATTTTTCCAAGGCTAGGGTGCGTAACCAATTACAGATCACAAAATATGACCAAGTTCTGAAGGCAAAAAGTGAAGGCTCAAATTAGACTAAGGCCATGGGTCAGATAAGCCCACACTGAACTGAATTGCTGGGTCCTGAGGAGCAGCACAAACACTGCACAGTTCTGCAAAGTTTGCTTCTCCTCATTCTCCTCATTGGAGTATTTTAAGTGTGAATTCACAGCCTATCAATCCCGCAAATATTTATCATCCTGAAGAAGTTAATTTCCAGCTCTTTGAAAACAAAACTGTCTTTACGCATCTGCTCCGGCAACCTTATTGCTTCTGAAGTTCTTCTGTCCATGCATTTTGTCCATGTCCATCCTAGAGCACTTGTGGAATTAACTCAGTAGAAATTAATAAAAGCATAAATTATAGCAGTGCAAACTGTTAATTTCTGTTTGGAGATTTGTCAGGTCTGCTGGGAAACATTATCAAGGAATGCGGACATAGAAAGGCCTTCAGTTCTGTGGAACTAAGTCCTGCTTTAGTTAAATTGAATTAAGCCAGGAAGTTTGGACCTGATGGATTGGCATTCCAGCATCTCAAGCAAAGACCTATGTATTGGTCTATGCATTTTACATCCTCCCTAGTCACTAGTAAGCTCCTTGCACAACACTTTTTCTCCCCTTGATTAAAATCATAATTTTTGAGTTCATAACTCACTACAGAAAGGCCCAGAGCTGCTCTGCCATGCTGTTTTAGAAAGACTCGGCCAATGCTGCAAATGGTGAAAGCTTTGACACACTGAACAAATAATTTGACTGAACTGGCTCGCAGCTTGACCTTCTGCTTGCGGCCGAGGAAGATGTTTACACCCAGGGGCTGCCTCCAGCTGCCACAGCGATGCTCACTGCAGCGTTACAGGAAGCCTGCGTTTCCTGCCTGAAGCTTCTCACGGCCACACACCCCCTCCTGCGACTCAGGCTCTTCCTTCCTTTCTCTTCTCTTCTATTCAACAGCCATCAGGCAAACGAAGAAATAATAATAATTTTTTTAAACCCTGCGTTTTAGTGAAAAAAAAAAATGCTGCCTTTTAAAATGCAAATAAGAATTTGAAAACAGATTTTTATGATTTACTCACAGTTTTAAATTTTTCTTCTTGATTTTCCTTTCTGATACACCTGAAGTCAAATCACTGAAATAAATGCGACTATGCTATCTGGTTTCCTTCAATTTTGGACTAAGGACCTTTTCTTAAGCAAAACACCCTGCCTTTGTTAAAGGGTGTTAGAGTCACAGACATATTAGCAGGCCTCAACCCCCTGGTCCCTAACTCATGTAACCACATTGAAGAGTTCATAAATTAAAAATTAATCAGTGATGGTATCGGTGAGAGTTTTGCTTCAGCAAGGAATTCACGTTTTGGCTTCCCTATTTTGAAGAGAACAGAGACACCAATAAGATTTATCATATGATGAATGACGGACTTACTGCCTGGACAGGGCACAGGGAAGAAATATAGGTTAACAAAAGAAATATTGAATATTTTTCAGTAAATTGGTAAAACAGTAAATTGGTTTTGGAAGTCTATTAAAATAGTTAGGGACCCATCACTATTTTCGGGTCCTGCTCCTCTGTTTTCTACATACTTAAAAATTTTCCACAAACATCCAGAAAAATTGGTCAAATTTTGCCTCTTTTAAATCCACAGGAAGGAAGGTTTCTCCAATGTCCACAGCCCCACTAGACCTCTCAGCCCACATTTCCCTGGGTTCTATCAAAACATAAGATACCAAAACACATCTGACTTTGATCCTCAGGGTGTATGTCACCATGGAGCAATTAAAGTCAGCAGCTTAAAACCCAAGTTTAAATCAAACAAAATGAGTAATTAGGCTGTTGCATCTAGAATTTGTAATTTCCTTCTATAATTGTGCAGAGAATTTGATTTCTCCAATTTCTGATGAAAGCTTGCAACCTCAGACAAAGTTCAGCTAATTCTAC